CTTTAGCCAGCCCGTTGGGGCAGGAATGGCAGCCGCTTCCTCCTGGCTTGCTCTCTTTTCTCCTCTCTGCCCATCTGAATGGACGGCAGTTGAGGAAGCAAGTCCTTCACTCTTTGCAAGTGGAAGCCCAGCCCCTGCCAGGATTCCAGCAGCTCTTTGAGTTGTGGGATCCTAATTTATTATTGACTGCCATGTCTTTTTTTACCTTGTAATCTTTTAAATTGGTTTTAATTATTCACATATTACATGAAAATATTCTCCTTATTAAAAATAAATCACATGATTTAGATCAATTGAAAGGCCTCCTTGACCAAGATTTTCTTCATTCCAGCTCCTCCAGTGCCTGGGGGTTAACATTGATATTAGTTTAGCACATCCTTAGCTCTTTTTTCAATGAATACACAAATATTCATGCATGTGTATTCTTATGTATATATACACATATATAGTTTTTTGGTGTGTATTTACATAATAGCATCATGTTGTGTGTATACCTTACTCCTTTCATTGTCATGGAGATCTTTCAAAGGTTGTTCATTTTATAACTTACGATTTTTTAACTGTTGAACAATATTCCATTGTAGGGATCTACCCTAATTCATTTTCACTCGTTAGACTGATGTTACAATGAACATCCGTATTCATTTCTCTTTGAGTTTATATGTATTTATCCAGAATATAGTGACTAAATTGTGGAGTCATTAAAAATTTAAATATATTCTGCCAAATAGCTACTCACTAAAGGATTATTATATTATCATTCCTGTGAACAGCGTATAAATGCTTCTATCACACATGTACTCTGTTGATATTATCTATCTTTTCAATTTTTGCCAATTTGATGTATAAACATTAATATCACATTTCTCATGGATTTTACTTGTATTTTCCTGTTTACTAGTGAGATTGAGTACCTTTAAATAGTATGTTTATTGGCTGTTCATATTTCTCCTTTGTGAATCACATGTCGGTATGGCTGTTTAATTCTATAGTTAGATCTTTGATGCATCTGGAATTGAATTTTATGCATGATGTGAGCTAGAGAACTAATTTTTTTTTGACAAATAGCGAACACCACTTGTTATCTATTGTATTCTTTCAAAATTTTTCTTGGCTGTTATTACTCATTGACTTATTTATGAATTGTTGAAACATTTTGTCAAGGTCCATTTGAGATATTAATTAGGATAACATTGAATTTGTAGATTACTTTGGAGAAAAGTGGCATCTTTACAACTTTGTTTATATTGGAAACATAGGATGTTTCTGTTTCTTTAGTACTTCTCTTATGTACATTAACAAAATTTAACTATGTTATTGTTTCCCCCCCCAAGAACCAGTATATTTAATTAAGTATATTTTTTATTTCATTAATCTCTGCTTTTATCAGTATTAAGTCAATTATTTTGGATTTAATTATTTCTTTTCTAACTTCTTAAGTTGAAAGTTTAGTTCATTCCTTTTCAGTACTTTTCTAGTAAATACTTTACAGGTATACATACCCCTCTGAGTACTGCTTGGGCCGTAGCCCACAGGTTTGATATGCAGTACTCTCAATATTATTCCTTGCTGCAGAAATTTTTGCTTCTCATCTTGATTTCTTTATTGAAGGAATTATCTGGAATACTACTTTAAATTTACAAATTTATTTTGGCTAGTTTTTAATTTCTACTTCCTATTTGCTTTTAGTTGTGCCTGTATCATGTCTGCTTTCTTTGAGATTTGTTGAGATTTTCTTGTTGCCTAATACATAGTTTGTAAGACTGTCCCATGTGTTTGGAAATAATTTATAGTCCTTGTTATATGGACACAAATTTTCTATATATCTATTAAATTGAATTGGTTAATCCTGTTATATAAATAATCTATATCCTACCATATATTTGATCTACTTGATTTACCCATTGAGAGAGGTATACTAAAGTCTTCCACTATGATTGTAGCTTTATCAGTTTCTTCTCGTATTTCAATTATTGTTTGGTTTATATTTTTCCAAGCCATGCTGTTATATGTGTACAGATTTCTGTGTTTATTTTTTTCATGGTAAACTGGATCCTTCCTAACTATGAAATATCCCTCTTTGGCCACTTTCATCCATTTCAATTTAGATTCTGTTTTATATGATGGTATTATTACTATATCGGCTTTCTTTTTCTTAATATTTGCCTGGTGCCTCTTTTTAAAAAATCTTTTTTTTTTTTTTGGAAAGTTGTTTAATTTCAAAATATTTGCGGATTTTCCATATAAATTTCTGTTACTAATTTCTAGTTTAATTCTGTATGGGTCAGAAATCATGCTTTGTATGTTTTATTTTTTTAATAAATTTATTGGGGTGACATTGGTTAATAAAATTACATAGGCTTCCAGTGTACAATTCTTTGATACATCATCTATATATTGCATTGTGCATTCACTACCCAAAGTCAAATCTCCTTCTGTCTTAATTTTATAAGGAACCTCCATACTGTTTTCCACATTGGCTGTACCAATTTACATTCCCACCAGCAGTGTAGGAAGCTTCCTTTTTCTCTACAACTTCTCCAACACTTGTTATTACTTGTCTTGTTGATAATAGTCATTCTAACAGGTATGAAGTGGTATCTCAATTGTGGTTTTGATTTGCATTTCCCTAATAGTTAGTGAGGTTGAGCATCTTTAATATATATATATATATATATATATATATATATATATATATATATATATATATATATGTTGGCTATATATATATCTTCTTGGGAGAAACGTCTGTTCAGGTCCTCTGCCCATTTTTTAATTGGATTGTTTGTTTTTTTTTGTTATTGAGTTGTATGAGTTCTTTGTGTATTTTGGATATTAGCCCCTTATCAATGGTGTTGTTTGCAAATATCTTCTCCCATTTGGTTGGTTGCCTCTTTGTTTTGTTGATGGTATTTTTTGCTGTGCAGAAGCTTTTTAGTTTGATATAGTCCCATTTATTAATTTTTGCTTTTACCTCCCTTGCCTTTGGGGTCAAATTCATAAAATTCTCTCTAAGACCAAGGTCCATAAGATTAGTATCAAAGGGCCTGGCTCAAAACAGTAGGTGTTCAACAAATGCTCAATGAGTAAAAAGCTCCTTGGTCCCCTGATTCTGATCTGAGATACAACTGATGGAAAAATATCTCAGTTGTAATGGACTAAAGTTCAAGTAATTGATAAAAGAAGTTTCAAGAAGGATTTAGTTATATTATTATATCTAAGGGACTTTTCCTATTCATACAGATTTAACATACAAGATTTTGAGTTTTCTCTAAATGAGGTCTGGTAGAAGTTCCTGTTGTTAATGGCAGTGGAGCTAAGGACTAAGGTAGGATATCAGAATTAGAGAAGGAAATCCAGGATGTCATCTGCACCAGCCATGCTCCTTGTGTGGGGGCTCACTGAAGGACATTCCCCAGCAAAACTGAATCACTGTGTACTTTAGTTCTGGATTTGCATCTCTTTATGTTTTCAGTTTCACCTACCAGAGTGCTGGATAATTATTTTTGTTTTGTTTTGTTTTAAATAATATTGTGGCAACATTAGCTTTATTGCAGACTGGTCTTCCAGGAGAACCATTATGCTGGAGACAGACAAACAGATTTATTTAGGAATAGATAAAAATGGCTCACAACTCATTAGACCTCAGTTTCTTACCTTAATTGACAAAGAATTTGAAAAAAATAAAAGAAGCATATGTTCTGTTGTAGTTAAAAGAATACTAGACTGGAATCAAGGGCCTCCGGGGCTTGGCTGTGCTAACTGGGCTCATCTAAAAATCCCCGGAAATCTCTTTCAGTATAAAGGAGCTGCATTAGTTGTCCTCTCACATTTCTTCCAACTCTAAAATGCTTCTCGTCTGTGTCTGGAAAAATCTTATGTGAAACTCTAGTAACAGTTAATCTAACCAGCACTCTTAAAATTCTGCCATGAGCTACTACTTATAATCCAAACCAGGTTCATTTTGTTCAGTTATTGGTTATAAACCATCCACATGTCATAGCTTTGAATGCTGTGGTAAGCATTGATGTGTATTTTTCTAAGCCATTACACATTAGCCAGTTGCTGAACAGACAGGATAAAAGCCAGTGGCTTCTCCAATTTCTTGTTTAAAGGAGTGCCGGCCCCAGTGCTTCTTTGGCACTTGGAAGAAAGTATGCAGGTGACAGGTGGACAAAGCCAAATGCAGCTCTCCTAGGTGGACATAGTAGGTTGCCCTCTTTAGTGCTGCACCCAGGTTGTAGTCTCTTCTCCTTCCCTGTGAGATGATGTGATTTTGCAGTAGGTGGTGAACTACAGAATCCTCTTCCTTGCCTGAATTTCAGAGGGAAGCCTGGAGATTTGATCTAAGGCTGGGGACTTCAATTAAGGAAGTGTAATCCACGATCACTGAGCACATGACAGAGCACAAACTGCTCTGTCCTGAGGTTGAAGATGAGGATCCAGACTGACCAAGAAAAGATATAACTTGGCTGCCAAATGACTTTTCATAGCTATAGAAAGCATGCCCTTTTCCATCAGCATTTTCTTTCAATTTTCTACATAATTAGTTTTGGCTCCAACACCATTTTCTTCTTCCCACCCATCCCCAAGATATCTGTATCTCTTTGCAGGGTGCTGAGATTTTGAGAAGTTTTATAAAACTATTGTTGTAATTCAGGGCTTCTAATTCAGGAGCCCTTCAAAAACCCCTGTGGGCAAGAAGATAAAATGCAGTAACACACATATGTGTAAGTAATACATTTGGCAAACAGACTGGAGGGGAATTTAATACACTTTAACTTGAGTTTAACTACTAGTGCTGGGACTGCAGACATTTTCTGATAGCCCTTTCTTAAAATGTCCGCAATTGACTTTAATAGTACAAAAGTGAATTGCCTGAGTCTGCTCATAAAAGAAGGCTCTGCTGCCTGGGGACTGTGGCTCTCAGGCTCTGCTCGTGGCAGAGCCCTCCCCTGGCCACAGCTAGCTTGTCCTAACCTAGTGTCTCTTCCCTCCAGAATGGCTGCAGTCTGTCCAGGCCACCATGATCCTGTCCATCATCTTCAGCATTTTGTCCCTGTTCCTGTTCTTCTGCCAACTCTTCACCCTCACCAAAGGGGGGCGGTTTTACCTCACTGGAACCTTCCAAATCCTTGCTGGTAAGTTGGAGATGATAAAGTCCATGTGGAAGCTGGTAAGTTGGAGATGATAACATCCAATGCTTCAGAATGATCAGTTAGTAGAAGGATGTGGCCCCAGAATATCTGATATTCCTGAGTCTGTTCATTGGATGGTTTCATGAAGTACAGGTGTATGAGTGTGTATGTGTATGCATGCACATGTGTGTATATACCTTAGAATTTGGGAACTCTCCACTTCTCCATGGAATGATGTGCATAGGAAATCGGAGTTAGGGGCTCTGGAAGGAAGGTCCCTAACCAAGCCAGATCTTTTCACCAGAAAGGAAGCTACAACCTGGACACATAATCAAAGGTAAATGCTGAGGGTTTCAGTACAGTAGGAGTTAGTCTTGAAGGCAGATTCCTATCGTTTATGTTATGCCCCAAGGAACCATTCTTACTTCAGCATAAAAAATGATCCTGATGAGCTGCTGAGAGCTGCTCTAATGTATTTTTCTTACTCAAAGCAGTGATGAAGCCACACTGACCAATTCTTGCTCTTCTTTACTCCAGCTCCTCGGTTTCACTGGTCTTTGATTTACTGTTCATCCACAGGTGTCTCCATTTTGGCACTCTTTTGTAACTTGCCATCATTTCCAAACATGGGACCATGACAACACACAAGAGGTCACCTTCATCTCCTCCCTAAACTACCCTCAAGTTCCCCCATTGGACAGGTTACTCATATGTATGATGTGCAGAGTCCTAGAAGCTTCTGTTATAGAGGGTGACATCTTACAACTTTGTTTCTAGATTCTGACCAGTTTTTTACTTCATTGACTCTTATTCTTTTGTCCATTGACTACCAATGGACTGAGTCAGCAGGACATCATAGAGAAGTAAGAGGCCGATGTAGTGGTGGATTCTATAGTCCAAGCCAATAAGTCACAAATGCCATATGGACCAGAGTACATCTGGGCACTGGGAGATGTTCTAGATTGTGGCTGTCTGAGTAGGCAAATAGCATAGAGTCCCTTGGTTTAGTTGGTTGTCAGGACGACCATGGTGCTGAATCACCACCTTGTGCTCAGGAGCAGTGATTGGAGAGTTGAAAATAGCCCACATGTCCTGCATGGATGGATGGATGGGTGGATGGATGGGTGGATGGGCGGATGGGTGGATATACTGGCTTACTTAGGGCAGTATTATAAGATACAACCTGAGGTTGAATGTTGATGAACTTTTCTAGAAGCCAGAGAGCTATCCTTTCCTGGGAAAAGGAAGTAACCTGGAGACCCACTTCTCAATAAATACTTAAAAACAACATTTCAGTATGCATGGTTTTAGGATTTCAAAACCAAATAGTGTTTTGCTTCTTGCACAGGTTTTATTATACCTAGTCAAGCTCCTGGATTGTTGCCAGCTTTGTTAAATTAGTGGTTACACAGTAAGAGATCATTTCTAGGTATGTTAGAAGCAGAGTTATCACTATTTGCTCCATTTCCAGAAGTAATACAAGGTGTGATTGAAAAATATGGTGAATGCTTACATTAAAAAAAATTATTACAGTAAAGACACATTGCCATTAATCCTCCTCAAAATACTCCCCCTCATTTGGAACACACTCATCCCATTGTTCTTGCCACTTTCTGAAACAGTTCTGGAAGACCTCTTTCATGGGTGTCTTTACTTCATCCTCCATCATGACAGCGCTCTGTGTCCCACATCACTTCTGGTATGGCAATTTCTGTCAAATAAAAACATTACGATGTGTACTCATCCACTTTATTCACTGGATCTGGCACCGTGCAATTTCTGGCTCTTCTTCCAAGTCAAAATGACCATGGAAGGTAAATGTTTTGAATTGATTCAGGACATCGAGGCAGTCATGATAGTGCAACTAAAGATACCCACAAAAGAGGACTTCCAGAACTGCTTCAGAAAGTGGCAAGAAGGATGGAATAAGTGTGTTTGAATTGAGGGGGAGTGTTTTGAGGGTGACTAATGGTAATGTGTCTTTTACTGTATAATTTTTTCATTTAAACATTCCCCATATTGTTTGATCACACCTCATACACAAAACTAGAATGTATCCTGGAATTTCTTTTTTCGGCCACTGTTTAAGTTTGATATCAAATCAAATGATCAATTCCATTGTACCAATGATGTATCCTCAAGATAAAACAATATAGACTTAGAAAGCAGAAGTTTCATAAAAAATTTTATGTGATCTATACAAACTTTTTATTTTTACTGATAAATACACAGACTGGCAGAGAATAAATTGAATGCCCAAGGTCACACAGCTCATGCAAAGAAATTGACTGCTTATACTCCCTCCCATACCACAGGGACTGAATATAGTTAGATACTTCCTTGTATTTAGAGATGCGGAATACACCAAAAGTTTTAAGGAGCACAAAAGCCAAGGCATAAACTCTGCCTTTTGTACTATCTTGCATTGAACCTGGAAGATCAATGCAAATTTGCAGCATTCGTTATTCCTGATTCCCCAAGCGTCCGTGGTAAGAGCCTGCACTTTCATAACTAGTCAAACTAAAAATATTGGACTGAGAAGAGCTAAGTTACTGCTGAAGGGGCTTTTCAGAGCAGTTGGCATCTTCCTGTTCATTTTCCCCACTGAGATATTTCAGCTTTCAGTTCTCTAACAATACCTCTTTAGCAACATCCTTTTAAGTCTAAACCCAAAGTACAAGATAAGAGCCATTAAGTTGCAAATGTCACTGCACTGTGTGTTCAAGTATTTCATTCACCCAAAAACTCTTAGGTGTTGACATTTTCTAATCTTCCAGAGTATATTTGCTATCCATACTTGCTTCACTGTTTTCATTCTCCTCTGAACTCAATATAGATCTTTCAGAACATTGCTATAAAATCGTCTGCATTTAAAAGCACATGAGTTTTATCCCCTTCAAATCTAGCTGTTTATCTCTCATGAGACCCACTTTTCAGTTATCAGTTTGTCAGTTTAGCTGTCCATATTTGAATAGGGTTTTATCTTGAATTAGAAATATTGAGTCAAAATAGCAGTTCCTAAGAATTTTCTATTCTTAATTGTTAACTCCAGTCAAAATAATCTGACAGTTTGTCTTCTAGGAACCTCAGGCCTCTGTAATGTTGAATTTGAAATTGCTGTAGGATCTTTCCTTTAAAATTGAGAACTAATAGGGTTAGGGACTTCACTTAGAGATTTCCTGACTCTTTTGAGTTCTGACAATTCTAAATCAACTTTGTCTTAACAGGCCCCAACTCAGGGCCTATTAAGAAGTCAGTAAGTAGAGAAAAAATTAGGGGAGGGTTGTTGGAGTTGAGAGTTGGTGACAATCTGAGAAGTTACAGTTTAATATCAAGGAACAAATCAGAAAAACTAAAACAAACAAACAAAATAAAAAGAGGAAAGGAAAGGAGGGGGATAGGGAGGAAGGAAAAGAAAAGTAGCTCCACAATCATGGGATGTAAAATCTAAGCGTGTGTCTGCTACAGGGTTCACACAGGGCAAACACATCTTCAAAGCCCTGAAGCATTTTATGTGGAAGTCACCAGAGTCCCCACCGAGTCTCCCAAGTGGCAGTTGCAGGCTGGGTTATCTCTGCATAGCTTCTTTTCAGAGGACCTAGCTGCGGTCTTGATAGATCATAAACATGAGGGTGTAGGGAAGGCAGGTGCGAGTGTGTGGGGCTCTTGGGGCTGACTAGAGATTTAGGAGTTGTCTCTGCCTTGCTCTAGATTACAGCTCTGCAGGTGCTTATAGGTCCACCTGCCTTGCTGCATCATCCCTTCTCCTGTCATAATAAGCCACAAGCCTCACATTTAAGAACAACCTTTCCTTGATTACATACTTCTTAGATTGGCCGCTTCCTGAATACATTATCAGGAGGCACCTTCATCTTGTTAAGTGCTTTTTGATCTTAGCTGCACATCAGAATTACCTTTTCAGAAAGGGGGTACTTTCTAAAACATGCCAGTGCTCAGCCTTCATCCCTGGAGAGCCCCATTTAAGAGCTCTTGGGTGGGGCTGCTCCCTGGGTGACTGAGGTTCATCCAGGGTCAGGAACTTCTGGTGTAGCCATTAAACTGCCCCTCATCCCACTGTAAGTTCTTCTAGGACATGTCCCCACAGACAGCTCATCCTCTTCATGGGCCGTTAATTCTAAACCCTCTTCTTAGAGAAGGGTCATCCGGATCCTGTAACTGCATTTTGGTGTCATTCTTGTTTTCAGAGCCTGTAGCCATTATGTTCCCAGACAGTAGTTAGCCTTGCCCTGTTGGATTAGACTGCACTAAATGGGAAAACATTAAGAAATTCATATAGATACAGATCTGAAAGGAAGATATGCATGTTTTTATTTACTTCACTACTTTCACCCAGCAACAAGCTCTGTGCATGCCACACAGAAGAAAGCCCTGAATAACCTACTTGTCAGATGACTGGGTAATTGTGTCCCCCTGGCAGAAGCCAACTCAGGTCACATGTGTAGCTACTATTTATTGTGATTCAGAGGAACAGAAAACATGGGAGAAGGAGACTCCTGAGTGAGTTTTACTTTTTCTGTTTGTTTTGTTTCTTTGGTCAGGCAGATGGATACAGATACAGGGCTTTAGGATAAAGGACTTTGGGGGATGAATAAGGACAAAGTGCCTTCCCTGTTCTGAGTGGTTCAAAGACAGCTTCGGTCTGATACCATGTTTAGAAACCCTCCTTTGCGTGAACCATTCCAGATGTTGCACTGGCCATGCCCAGATCAGAATCTAGGATGCTCCGGGTAACTTTCTAAGCAGCAGGGGTCACTTGGATGCTGAAAATGGAAACGGGGCTAGTAGCACAGAGAAGGCTCTGTGCATGTCAGACGTAGAGCCCAGCACGTTCACAGTAATGGATCTTCCAGCCTCTTCCTGCCTCACCTTATCACCCTAAGGATGTGGTGGGGTGAGACAGAGGCGATCCTTCATCAAACCAACACCACTAAGGCACCTTCCACTGACTGGCTTGGTGGTCTCACCTAACAGTCACGTTCCAGGCAGCTTCACTCTGGCTTCCGCTCCAGGCTCGCAAATGAACTGCTTTTGAAAAGGTTACTGATGTCCACTTTTAAGTCATTTGCTGAATTCCTCCACTCCTTTCAATACAGTTGACTATTTACTACTTGAAACTGTTTATTCCCTCAGCTTCCAAGTCATCACCATTTCCCCAGCTACCTAAGTTAACCCACCAGGCAGCCATGGCAGAGTCCTTTCCCTCACCTGTATCCAGTCCACCACTGAATCCTGCCATGGCGTAGCAGCCTGCATAGATGTTGTGTCCATTTCCTTTCTTTTACTCACTAATGGCATTGTAGCTGTGAACAAGCCAACTCACGCACCTTCCTGCCCGTCTTGTCCCCACCCCTAAATCCATTTCCCACACTGTTGCAGAAGTGATCCTTCTAAAACACACATCTGATCATATTTCTCCCCTACTGAAGATGTGCTTCCCATCACAACTTCTTCAACATGCCATTAAGGCCCCCCACCCCCACCCCATATCATGGGATACTCTTATCATGACCTGCTGGTGGTTTCTACCAAGCTCTCTCAGTCTTGCTTGCCTCACTAATGATATTCCTTCTACCTGGAGTCCCTTCCTACCTGGATTTCCTTCTTTACTTGGCTAACTCTTACACATCCTTTAGACCCAGGCCAAGCATCACCTACCCCGTCAGGGTTCTCCAGGCCTGCAGTTTGGACTCAGTGACCCCCCTCCTCCACCTCTGCCCTGCCGTGCTCTCAGAGCATCTAGTGCATTTCCCTATCTCTCTTTTGAAGTCACATCATACAATATTGGAAGTTTCTACTGACGTGTCTGTTTCTAGATGACACTTACCCCTTGAAGGTAGGAGTCAGGTCTCATTTATCTGGGTGCTCTCAGCATCCACAACAGTGTCTGCATGCAGTAGGCATTCATTACATGTTTACTGAAGTAAACAGAATGGAGATAAGGAAGGTGAGAGAATTCCCACCATTTCTTCCTGTGTCTTCGTCCCCTTGGTTATTCCCTTCCAAGGGTTCTGGGCTCTAATCACTCACCTGTGGTTGGTGTCATTATCAAAGGGGGCTTGAGAGCTCCTCTTCAAGAGGGCTTTAGGGAGAATTTTCAGGGAGTTATTTCAGACCCAGATGTCTTGAGACAGGTAGAAACTCTTGTGAACCCTTGAATGGCCAGCACTTTTATGTTGTCTGGACAAGGTCTGTGTCCTCCCACTTAAACCTGCTCTACACTCTGAGACTCAGGACCTTCCCAGGGCACCCTTGTCACTGCCAAAGCACGGATTGCTCATCTGTGGGGAAAGGAGACCACCCGCTGGTGTGTCAGTAGCTTCACTTACCTGTATCATGGGGGACCTTCATAAACCCATTTCTACTTACTGGTTGTTGAGAAAGTGAGTCACAGTCCACTTATGGGGAAAAATGTTTGACTTTTAGGGACTATCATAGGGCATTAACTACTCTCTATTTCAGGGCACATCTATTGCTTTACATACAGACAGCCTTGTAGTAACATATCCCTAAAACATCAGTCTTCTGACAACAATAATTATAAAGTGTGTATCCTCTCTTTGGCTTTGTAAGTATCTAAGCTTATTGCTTGTTGCAGCAAAGCTTAAATTCATTTACTTCTGAGATTCCACTAGGGTGAATGTCTTATAAATTAAGCCATCTTGTTAGTCATCACACTTGTGTATTCTGCCTCTCTAGGTCATAGATGGCATGTTCTCTCTTTGATGTTTTCTTTGCCAGTGAAATCTGGGCACAACCAGTCTACCTGGCTACCATGGCATTTTTCATGTCAGTGCTGGTTAGAGACACAGCACTGCTGGGAAGTCCTGCCAGCATGATAAGCATTGACGTGGCCTTTTAGCACTCTGTTTCTGCCTCCCTCTCTCCTTTGGTCATGCTCTTTTCATAGCCCTGTTCTCATTAGGTAGATCAGATATAACCCAAGAGACAACGTCAATATTTCTTAAAAACAAGAGTTACCACTTTGGAGAGGTGTACTATGGGGGAAGGTCACTGAGGATAACGGACCTCAAGGCAAATAAAATGTGTTCCCTGCAGATCAAAACTGTCTTCCTTAAACAATAGTTTGCCAGCTATGGTTTCCCCTCTGACACAGATGTCTTCGCTGTCTCCCGAACTTTCTGTAGGTAGCAGGGCTCTGGATCTGATCCCGCTGTCGTTCCAAGACTATTGCGTGGTTTTCTCAACGGGGGAGTTTTCTGCTCTGACTTGCAGAAAGACAGTCTTATCAGGGTGGTGAATGTGACATATTCCCATTTCTGCATTTTGTCCAAACAAAGTTGCAGTGTCCAGTCAAATAGCAGCCCAAATAGCAGTGAGGTTAGGTGTAGGTGGTCCCGGTCATTGGGAGCTTTGGAACCACAGGAATCCCACACGGCCTGCTGGATTTATAATAGAGTCACTCAGAGCCTCTCAAAGACCTTGTTTTCAGGAGGGAACAGAATAGGCTTTGTGCAGCTCCAGGCTGGGGTGCCAACGTCACTGGACGCCTCCCTGCAGGGGATGCTGACTGTCATGGTGGGCATGGACTGTCATGCTTGCCTGCTTCATGAGGACCAAGGTGGACGTTTTTCTTCTCCTTCCCACTCCAAAGGGCTGCAGTGGTGTTCAAGGGAAGGTGGCCTCACCTACCTGTGTATCTGACACCCTTTCACCCCTCTTTGGGCTTCAAACCCAACCTTGGGAGCAACAAGAACTGTTGAAAGGGTTCAGGTTACAATGAACTTGTCCCTGATAGCCTGCTCCCTCCGCAGCTTTGCATTCCACTCATCCTGTCCTTCCTCCTTGTTTCCTCCTCACCTTCTTTTTCATCTCCATATATTCCTTTGTCTGCCCAGCAGAGCCCATAGGCATTGCTTGCTCCATCTCTCACGTGGCAGTCCTACTAAGGGGATTAACATGGAGTTCTGCCTCTGTATTCTTCCTGGAGCCCAACACTGCTGCCACGACATGACTCAGATAATGCTAAAGTGTCATTTCACTTTCATAGGCTCCAGATAATGCCCCACTCATTTGTAGAGTGGTTCACAGGTATCCAGGGGCTCCCACACCCAACCATCCTTGGAAAGAGATACAGAAGTTTATCTTGTTGCTGGCCTAGTGTGAACTGGGAATAAGTGACAGTTAAAGGAAGAGAAATGAGGCAGAAAAGATGAAAAAGAAGCTCAGAGTTGATGGCCTGGGTCACATAGATTGGAAGCAGAGTGCATCGCTTCCTATGTTCCTATATCTTGAGCCTCCTCTCGGTTCTGGATCTGGCAGTAGGTTCCTTGAGGGCTATTCATGCTCTTCTTCACAGTGATGGCTGCCCTCCCTGCAGCCCACTTCCTTCTCCCTAAGAAAGATTTGGTGACCTAGTGTATGTGTGTGTGTGTCTGTGTGGTCAAGAGCAACAAGTGGTATGGGCAGGTGCCCGGGGCCCTGTGACCTCTGCATTGGGGATGGTGGAGAGGGCGGCCCTGCTGTGACTCTTCCTCACCCAGTTTGTACCTCTCTTTCCCCAGGTCTCTGTGTGATGAGCGCAGCGTCCATCTACACAGTGAAACACTCAGAATGGCACCTCTACTCTGATTACTCCTATGGATTTGCCTACATCCTAGCCTGGGTGGCCTTCCCCCTGGCGCTTCTCAGTGGCGTCATCTATGTGATCTTGCGGAAACGTGAATGAGGCGCCCAGACAGTTCGTCTGAGGCTCTGAGCGTACATACACAGGGAAGGGAGGAAGGAAATCCGAAAACAGAAAAAAAAAAAAAAAGGTAGCCAAAAAACCCAAACTCAAACCAAACCAAACATAAAGCAGTTGGGCGGGGGGGGTTAGTATTGATTGAAGATGTATATAATATCTACGGTTTATAAAACCTATTTATAACACTTTTTACATATATGTACATAGTATTGTTTGCTTTATATGTTGACCATCAGCCTTGTGTTGAACCTTAAAGAAGTAGCTAAGGAACTTTACATCCTAATCATATAATCAAGCTCAGTATTTTTGTTTTGTTTTTCATGTTTTTGTTTTGTTTTGTTTTGTTTTGCCCAGAAATAAAATAACTCCATCTCACTCCTTCCCTTACATCTGAAAGAAGATACCTCCCTCCCATTCCACCTCATTTAGAAAACCAAAGTGTGGGTAGAAACCCCAAATGGCCAAAAGCCCTCTTATTGTGGTGACCTTGTGTTCCGACAGACACGCACTACCCACACCTCCATGTGAAGCCTTATGCACACATGGACAAAACCCGCAAACTGGAGCCCTTGACAAAAACATGGCTTGTGGCTTTGGAATACTTGCCCTTGAGGGTGGGTATCCCGGTCACACATCTGGATGAGAAATCGGTGACAAAAAAACCTATGAAATGGTGCTATGTATTTACCATTCCTTATTTTCACTAATCATCTAAACTACTTACTGGAAATTCAATTAACAATTTTATAACATAAGTAGAATGGAGACCTGAATAATTCTGTGTAATATAAATGGTTTATAACCGCTTTTGTACCTAGCTAGGCTGCTATTATTATTATAATAAATAAATAATAAATACAGCTTTTATCACTCCCACATTTTTCTTGCGGTCGGAGCATCAGGACAAGTCTCTAGACCCCCTGGAACCATGAGTTTCCAGGGCTCAGCTGGGTCTAAGCTGTTCTCTGCCTCCAAGGACTGTCTGGCAATGACTTGTATTGGCCACCAACTGTAGATGTATATACGGTGCCCTTTCTGATGCTAAGACTCCAGACCTTTTTTTTTGCTTCGCTTTTTCTGATTTTATACCTACTGTTTGGACTAAGATGCATTAAAATAAACATCAGAGTAACTCACTGATCTCTCTTGGGTTTTTGTGGGGATCTGGGCGTGAGTGTGAGGTGTGTGTCGCAGTGGAGGGAAATGCTTCCATACAAAGCAAGGCTGAGCAGGTGACCTGGGTTGCAGTTTGGTGTGAAGGGACCAAATTGGAAGGCCTGTGCAAATGTTTGCTAATTGGAAAGGGCCAAGAATTGCAGCTAAAATGGACATCGTAAATGGACTGGTCGGACCTGGGTGTTCATTTAGCTCAACCCTCTCTTGTGCTCTGTTCTTGGATGACCAGCATGGGGACCACCGAGATATGTCATGCACTCACCTAATATATGGGGAATGGTAGTATGAGCACAGATCCCTAACCTTTAGAAGTAGGGGAGGGATGATAACGATGGAAAGTCTGCATGGTGATGATTTGAAGCCAGACTTCCAGATAAAACATTAGTTGGCATTGACTGAGCTCCCAACGTCATCGTGAGGGAGGGAAAGGCCCGACTTATCATCCCACTCTATGTTTCTGGGCTGTATCTCACTCATATCTTACCCACTGACTTTTTATTATCCATTGTGATACATCAAGCTAATGATGCACTCAATATTCTTCAATATTTATTGAACATCTATGTTGAACTGGGCACCAGAGAGCATGAAAGAATATCACTTTCAGCCTCAAAAGGTCATATTTTAGTGACAGGCACAAGCAAACAAGTGACTACATTATAATGAAGAGCATATAAATTAGGCAACCTGGATTTGAATCTGCCCTCCAACCTTTACTAGCTGTGTGAAATTGGACATGTTACTTAAACTCTAAGATTCCATTTCCTCACCTGTAAGATGAAGATGCCAATGCCTCTACAGGATTGTAGAGGTTAAAAGGAGATAAGTATAAAATGCTTAGCATAGTGCTGGTAAATAGAAAACATTCTATAAATTCTCATTTATCACCAAAGTTAGGATAGAGGTGTGTTAGAAGGAGATATTGATTGTTCTGGGGAATTCTCAATACCAGGCTGCACATTAGAATCTCCTGTACTGGGAGCCACCCCAGAGATTCGGATCCCTTATGTCTGTGATAGATCTACCTGACCTTGATAGGTTTGAAGAACACTGCCCACGATTACAATGTACAACCAGGGATGACAGCCTCTGAGCTTTCTAGTGCTTATCAGATTTTAATGTGCTGATGCATCATTTGTGAAATATAGATTCTGGCTCAGTAGATCTGGGGTGGGGATTTGGGTTCTGCATTTCCAGTTAGTGCCTGAGTGATGCTCACACTGTTGGTCACACCTTGAGTAGGAAGGACCTAGAATGAAGCCACCTTCAGGCACCTCAAGCTCTTGTGTCCTTGAACATCTGTGATGGAAGGGCTTCTCTCTTCTGAGGTTTTCAGTAGTGACCAGCTACTCTGCTCTGACTCTGGTAGATTGGCTGAGGTGGCAGAGATGGCCATGAAATGCACATGAGACATAGGTGGTTCAGAAAACTGAAAATTGTACTTCACAAGCTTGTACTTTGAAAATGTGTACAGGCATACCTCAGAGATATTGTGGGTTCAGTTCCAGATCACTGCAATAAAGTGAGTTGCCACCTTTCTGCTGGTAGAGGGTCTTGCCTTGAATTTATTAAAAAAAATACCACATCTGTGAGATGCAATAAAGTGAAGTGCAATAAAATGAGATTGCACTTATATATCATAAACTTTCTTTTATAACTTTTAACTAAAAATTAAAAGTTAATATAGACAATACTGAAGATAAAGAGGGACATTTCTTAATGATAAAAGGGTCAATACACCAGGAAAGTATAACAGTTACAAACATACATGTACCTAATATCAGCACCAGAATATATAAAACAAAAACTGACAAAAATCAATGGAGAAATAGACTATTAAACAATAATTGATGGAGACCTAAATACCTCACTTTCAATAATGGATAGAACAACTGACCAGAAGTTCGATAAAAAAAAATAGAATACTTGAAAAGCCCTATAAACCAACTAGATCTAACAGAAATCTATAGATCATTCCACCTAACAACAACAGAATATACATTCTTCTCAAGTGCACACAAAGCAGTCTCCAAGATAGTTCTATGGTAGGCTGTAAAATAAATCTCAATAAATTTAAAAGGATAAAAATAACACAAGGTATAATACCCTCTAAGTTCATCCATGTTGGCACAAATGGTAAGATTTCATTTCTTTTTATGGCAGAGTAATATTCCATTTTATATATGTACCACAATTTCTTTATCCAAGTGTCTATTGGTTGGCATTTTGTTGTTTCCATAAAGACAAATACCATATGATTTCACTTATATGTGGAACCTAAAGGACAAAATAAATGAAAATACAAAACAGAAACAGACTCATAGATTCAAAGAACAAACTGATGGTTACTAAATGGGAGGGAGGTTGGGGGGGCTGGGTGAGAAAAGTGAAGGGATTAAGAAGCACAAATTGGTAGTTACAAAATAGTCATGGAGAATATAGTCAATAATGTTGTAAAAACTATGTATAGTGTCAGATGGGTACCAGATTTATCAGAGTTTCACTTCATATATTATGTAATGTCTAACCGCTATACTGTACACCTGAAACTAATATTAGATAATATTGAATGTCCACTATAATTTTAAAAAATAGTCACAGGGATATAAAGTACAGCATACAAAATATAGTCAATAATATTGTAATAACCATGTACACTATCAGATGGGTAATAGACTTATTGGGGTAATCACTTTGTGAGGTATGTAAATGTCTAATTACTATGTAGTTTTGTATACTTGAAACTAATAAAAAAAAGTAAACCAAAAACCCCCCACAAAATATGTTCTTTGACCATGGTAGAATTAAATTAGAAATAAATAACAGGGAAAAAATATGTGGGAATTAAACAACGTACTACTAAGTAACTAATGGGTTGAAGAAGAGATCAAAAGAAAAATCAGAATAGTTTGAAATGAATGAAAATGAAGACACAACATATCAAAACTAAAGGAATGCAGCTAAAGCAGTGGTTAAAGTGAAATTTAGAACTGTAAATTACTATATTAAGAAATAAGATCTCAAATCAACAATCTAACCTTCCACCTTACAACACTGGCAAAAGAAAAGCACATTCAACCTAATGGCATGCAGAAGGAAGAAAACAATAAAGATTACAGAAGAAATTAATAAAATAGAAAAATAGAGAAAATCAATGAAACCAAAAGCTGGCTCTTTGAAAAGATGAACAAAATTGACAAATCTTTAGTAGATTTATCGTGATATTGTGATATAATAAGAAATATATATTAGGTCTTCCTCCCTGGTTCTACTCACAGGACTCCTAAAATCCTTGTCATTTCTTGAGTGAAAAGAGTGAGAGGAGGATCTTTTGTTGCTCAAAGGAGTAATGTGCTCCTCTCAACCATGCTGAGTTTATGCTAATGAGGTGATGCTTGGATAATGAGAGCTGGTTGCCAGAGAAATCAACCATGTGATTAGAGGGTAAGAACTTCAACCCACCCCCTGACCTCCAGAGAGGGGGAAAGTGCTGGAGATTTAGTTAATCACCATTGGCCAATGATGTAATCAATTATGCCTATGTAGCAGAACCTCTACACAAATCCTAAACGAAGGGGCAAAGAGCTTCCCAGTTGGTGAACACATCCATGTGCGGGGACGGTAGTGCACCTCACACTCCATGGGGACAGAAGCTCCTGCGCTTGGGACCCTCCCAGACCTTGCCCTCTGTACCTCTTCATCTTGCTGTATCCTTTATAGTATCCTTTTTAATAAACCAGTAAATGTAAATAAAGTGTTTCCCTGAGTTCCGTGAGCCATTAAAGCAAATTAGTGAATCTTAGGAGGGTGTCCTGGGAACTCCTGATTTGGAGCCAAGTTGTACAGAAGTGTGGGTAACCTGGGGACTTGCTACTTGTAACCATCATCTGAAGTGGGAGGTGGTGCTGTGAGACAGAGCCCCTAACCTGTGGGGTCTGCACTAACTCTGGGACACCCAGGTCGTATCTGCAGAGAATTAGAGAATTTCTTGGTATAGAAAAGCCTACATGTTTAGTATCAGAATTGTGAATAAGAGAAAACATTTTTCCTTAATGATTAAAAAGAAAAAAAAAGACTCAAATTATCAGACCCAGAAATGATAGAGGGAACAGTACACTGATCCTAAAGAAATAAAAAAAAAAAGATTGTAAAAGAATACTATGCACAATTGTATGCCAATAAATTAGATAACTTAGATGAAATGACAAGTTTCTAAAAAAAACACAATTACTGAAACTGACTCAAGAATAAATAAACAATCTAAATAGCCCTATAACAAGTGAAGAGACTGAAGTAGTTTTCAAAAAACTACCCACAAAGAAAAGCCCAGGTCCAGATGGCTTCACCACCAAATTCTACCAAATATTTAAAGAACAATTAATACAGATTCTTCACAAACTCTTTCAAAAAATAGAAGAGGGAAGGAATGCTTCTCAACTCTTTATATGAGGCCAGTGTTACCTTCATACCAAAACCAAAAACATGACATGAAATAAAAACTACAGACCAATGAATCTTATGAATATGGACTAAAAAATTCTCAACAAAATACTAGCAAACCAATTCCAGCTACATAAAAACAAAAACAAGACAAACATTATATACCTTGAACTAGTAAAATTTATCTTAGCAATACAAGGTTGGCTCAACATATGAAAATTAATGAAGGCCATATATCACATCAACAGAATGGAAAATAAAAATAATATGACATGTCAAAAGACCCAGAAAAACTATTTGACAAAACCCAACTCTTTCCTAACAAAAACAAAACAAAACAAAACAAAACAAAAAACCTAGGAATAAAAAATATCATCCACAATCTAATAAAGAACAACTTTGAAAAACCCACATCTAACACCACACTTATTGGTGAAATATTGAATGCTTTCCCTCTAAGATAAGAAACAAGACAAGATGTCTGCTCTTATGACCTCTATTTAATAGTTTACTAAAGGTTT